AATGTATACTTCAGGAAAGGATTCAACACATTAAGTTATAACGTTCACGCTGCTCTCACAGGACAAATTGTATACATATTATATTTTGAAATGAGCTACATTTAATTGCCATTTTATCACCCTCTGCCTTCTTCCCATTAACCTCCCTATCCCTGCAATTGCTTTTACGACACTCTACAAATTCATCTAGTCTCTAAATCAGATTTTTATTCCTTGCTACACTTGAATACAAAAGTCAAGCTATTTATAAACTTGACTTGATATTGGGGAAAAAAGACAGGTGCTATTTTGCCTGCCTCTCTACAGATACGTGTCATATCTTTTGCCTCAAATACAATCTAAACCGGTCGTATATTTTAATTTTGGCTTACACTACACAAAGTTGCGTAATGTTTCCTCTCTATAAAATTTCCCGGATGAAGCCCTTACCTTATTAGATCTACCCCTAACGCATCCTTTCCCAAACTCTCCTATGAAAACTTTTCACTTGGTACCGAGACCCTTTTCCTGCTCCACTCTTTCATACAACCTCCCATTTTCAATCTTTTAAAGGAAAATAAAAGGATGGGTAGATGAGGAAAGTGCTGAAGTTTCTACCTTTGGGTAACGATTACTCCAGTTTCAGGCCCCCTATTCCACGTCGCTTTCACAAATGTATATTTATATGTACTAATTGTGCCTCGTGGTAATATGCCTAAACAACAACAATAACAACAACACCCCCCCTCCAGCAACAACAAAAAAACAGCAACAACAGAAAAAACAATACGAAAAGCAAACAAACAAACAAACAAAACCCCCGAAGACAATCAAGCCAGAAAACAAACACATAATAAAAATGAATAAGTCCCTGAATGTTTTTTCATGTCATTCCTTCCCTCCTCTTCCCCTCCGACGTGACCTTCGCAGGACCTTACATCGCCCCTGGAAACATCGGAGGAAGCGGGGGCGAGAGTGGGGACAAATAACAATCAACCCTCTCTACGTCCTCCACAGATCGGCTTGGCAAGACATCGACACCGATAGATCAAACAACTCACCTCACGTGACCGGAGCCAGTCTCAATGTTTGTTTAGGAGCGAAATGTCTGTACAGCCTTTGGACGCATGCGCGTGTAGAATAGTATTGTTTCCGACGCTGTAGGGATGACGGAGGTTAACTCAACCGTGTTAGACTAGTGAATTATAAACTATCAAAACCATCAAAATAGAGCTTGAAAAGAAACGGCGAAAAGATGTAGTATTGTAATGAGACACATCCAGTCTTTGGTACTGAGTGAGGCATCCTCACATTAAACGAATTGAATCTGTTTGATTGTGTAGCCTAATGGGGAAATGCAGATGTGTGCCATGTTTTTCCTTGCTGAAAACGGGAGTTAGTGACAGACTTGCCTCACATACAGAAGATTTAAAGCTGACCATTCCCAAGGTACTGGCGATTTCACCCGTCACAGAAAAGAACCCGTGAAAGATTCAGATGTACAAAGGCACGTGCTCGGAGAGTGTCATAGGTAGGTCACATTTCTATACTATTCTTTCATTGTATATACCTGTTTGACTTTCTTTCTTCCCTCGACATCAAATGTCTGCTATTGTGTCAATGGGCTTCTATTTACTTAACCAAGATCAACTTCAACTGCAAATAAGCATTATTTCTCGGGTGAAAAAGTTGAAAAGAGTACAGATAGTATGCTGCATGATGGTTCTCTCATTTGTTTGCGATAATGATACTAACAAAACTGCCGTGAAACTTAAAGTTGAGACAGTTGGATCTATAATATAATATCTCGTTTAAATCATATCTGAACGTTAGAATTCTTGTTTATCGTACTAAAGAAGATAGCCTTAAAAGGTATAAAAGAAAACTGTTTTTAAAGGAATAAAACAACATGTTTTTAGCAGTACCAAATGCCTGCAGCTGGAAATCTATTAAAATGTTTGTGGATATTAACGGGAGCCTTTTAAAATAGAGGAAATGGTCTGCAGTTTACTACCTTTGAAACTTGTGGCAGTGGATAATTCATACTCTACTATCATGGAGCCGAGTTTCAAGATTTGGATCCGCTTTTCTAATGTACCCCTCAATAAAAACAGGTCTGTTGCCGTCTGTACAAATAATCAGAACCAGGTCTACCCTCCCCCTTCAGTGTTGTTTTCGTGTCTGATGTCTCAAGGCCAAGGAATCGCATTGCTTCCGACTACTTCTTTAACAGTATCGAGAACTCCCTATGCATATAATAATATGATGAGAGCAAAACGAAATTTCTCATTTCTTTTGATTTTGTTGACACGTCTTGACGCTTTGCTACGCGAAAAAAAGTTTGATGGCGAGAAATCTTCGGCTTACCCCTGTCGTGTACTTCAAGAGACGAGAATTTCCTAGCTTCGGCTTTCTCTTTTGACAATAGCACATTTACCCATGCAGCATTAAAACCCAGCCGCTGGCTTGGAGGCGCGTACCCCCCCCCCTTCCAAACCACACACACACAATGGAAGAAAGCATGTTGTTCTTGGAGACATAAATGTAGAGTAAGTATTAAAATTTGCAAAGAAGAATAGAGCTGAGCAGATAGTCTTAAAAATGAGCTAAAGTGTGGATTTGGAGAGAGAGAGGGAGAGAGAGAGAGAGAGAGAGAGAGAGAGAGAGAGAGAGAGAGAGAGAGAGAGAGAGAGAGAGAGAGCGAGAGCAAGAAAGACGTTGCTGTTTTGAAGACAATACTGCAATAATATAACAATAATTACAGCTCACAGCTCACAGCTCAAAAGCTCTTTGCTAACGTGGATATTATATTTCCTTTCCTCAACAGGGACACCATGATATATTAACATAATTATAGAAAGGCTAAACAGGGGCTATATATATATTTTTGTTGTTGTTGTTGTTGAGAAAACTGGAGTCATTGGAAACAGACAGAAATATGAACCTTTCTAAAAGGGATCACTTGGAAGCTCAAAAATTTTCCGAATTTTATGTTATGTTGGTAGTATTTCCAAGGGACATAAATCAGTTTCTAAATTCTCCTTTCGTTGTACTGTTTTGTATAATAAAATACCTGTTTGACTTGCTTTTTTTTATCCGACAACAAAACTCTGCTATGGTATCAATGTGCTTCTCTTAAACTGAAGTGAACCTCAACCTTGACAAGTATACAGAAAGCAGCAAAAGTTATTTTTAACAGTCAATAAGTACATGTCAATAGACGTCAACAAACTAGTAATTGATTGTATGAATGTTGTAGCATGCAACACAAGCTGCAAAGCTCACCGCCTGTCCCCTTTCTGGGGAACTGAGGTGTACATTGAATTGCACTGCCCAGTCAGCAAAGTCGTGTGAGCTTTTCTTTACAAGGGATCATCATCTCTTTTCTCACTCTTCACCGAAGTGTAGGCCGCCAACAAGAGCTCTCCATCTACTTCTATTCAATTGTTTGTATACGATCTTCCTTTGGTCCAAATCAAAGTCAAACCTCCTTCCAAGTACTTTAAGATCTGCCCTTCTTTCTCTTTCTTTGTGGATTCCATCTTAAGTATTTTAGACTAATGTTTGTTTTCGGTTTCCTCAAGGTATGTCCAAACCACCTCCATTTTCACTTTCCGATTTCTCTACGGCTAAGAGCTTCGGAAGTACATCTCTCCGTGCTTGGTCAATGCAAAGGCGAACAGGAAATTTTCCAGGAAGAAGGAGGAATAAAATCTTGTTTGGTGTTCAACAAATTTGCTTTACATTAAGTGACTTAAAGTGTCATAGTAAAAGTCTCGGGGAAACTCCACTGGGAAAGTTTACTATGATACAGACTGCCTGATACGTGGATGGACAGATTCATAGACATGTCCACCTACTGACCTCTACGCAACCACGACGGGCACATACAAGCACGGCTATACCCTGTAATATAATTAACTGCACAACTTGGGTAATTAGTATAAGACCAAACTCTCTGGTCGGAGAACTTGTCTCTTGAGCCATGCTCAGTATCGATTTGTAATTAGCCCAGAGTCGTCGACATTGCATTCGGGAAGAATCGGATCTGGTCGTATAATATTATTCTGATGGGATTGTTGGAGGCAGTATCGAGCGTAGGTGTGGCATCGGAAGGCAAGAGAGAGGAATCAAAACAAATTAATGCCATCAGATAATCTCATCCAGGTCAGGGAAAAGCGTCAAGGCTCTCGCAAATAGTCAGCTCCACTGGGACTGTTGTCCCCAGATAGGCCCCAGTCCCTTGGAGGGTTTCGATATAACGAGTACTGTTCCGAAACGAGCATAATGTTAATAAGTATAAAGGATGTGCCTCTATTTGTATCGTATTAAAAATAAAACGGAGGAAGAGAATACGGCTATGTAATGTATTCTTAATTAAAGTACGTAAAAGGATAGAGCGTACACCACAACTGGCATCGAAACATCCAGTTTCTGAAACTTGCATGAAAACATGTTACGGAATGATGTAAAGTAAGAACGTACAGACAGAGCACTGATTTGATATGCGCTGTTATGGTTTGACTTCCCGCAAGCTTTTCAATAATCAATTATAGACCATATAGCCAAACCCTTTTAGAAAGGCGAGAGATAAAGAAAGACAGAGCGAAAGACCGAGAGAGAGAGAGAGAGAGAGAGAGAGAGAGAGAGAGAGAGAGAGAGCGAATATGTATATATAGAGAGGTAGACAGAGATGGGGAGGGAGGGAGAGAGAGTGAGAGGGAAGAGAGAGAGAGCAAGAGAGAGAGAGAGAGAGAGAGAGAGAGAGAGAGAGAAAGAGAGAGAGAGGAAAATGAAAATGTCATAGAATGGAGAGAGACATTCTGCTCCACAAGGATGCCCTTACAACTCACAGGTAAGTAAAATGAAGTAGGAAAGTTAAACCATTAATTTGATTAGAAATAACCAATTTGACACTGATGTGTCTGATAACATGAAATGTGTTTCAAAATCTAGTCATTGGCAGAACGAACACATCACATTCTTGGCGCAATAAAGAAAGTATGGCACATCAAAAAAGTTTTATTCACTCCACTTCCAGACACAAAAAGAATTGTTTTTACCTTTGATGTTTTCATTAAGTAATTAAGTTTAAGGAACGTTTTTGATTAAATTTGATATAAAATTATCATGATACCGTGTCAAAATATTTTCTGTCAAAATGTCTACTTTTGACGTTGCTCAGTTCTTGTCTGCTCCGAGTGCAAATCTTTCGACTCAGTCATACCACCACCGTTTGTCGGCATTGGTAAGTTGTAAACATCTATTTCTGCGCACTGCGAATCAGAATCGCAATCTTGACACAAAGTTACAAAACAAGAGGTTGCCTTTTCACTCACACCGTCACCCAGCTGACCAGGGTCTGAGAGGGAATCGCCCGGAGGTTCTTGATGCATGCTGGCCGTGGAGCTCAACAATACCCCCGACGCCACCATCAAGATGTTACCTGCGAGTGAATGTGCTGGCTCAGCTACCGGGACTTTTTTGGGGTGGGGGGGGGGGGTGGGGTTGGGTCTTTGACTTTTAAAACTCTGTATACTTATTGTGTTGCTGTGAATCTCTGACCAGTTTAGTCCACCAATTATGATAACGACCCTGGGAATCTGAATCTACATTTTCTTCTGGCAAATATACTTTAAACTGTCTGCCGGTCTGTCTCTGCACCCCTCTTTCTCTCGCTCTCTCTTCTCTTCCCCACTCTCTCTCGCTCTCTCTCTCTTCCCCACTCTCTCTCTCTCTCCCTCTTTCTCTCGTATCTCACTCTTTCTGTTTCTCTCTCTCTCTCTCTCTCTCTCTCTCTCTCTCTCTCTTGCTCGCTCTCTCCCTCTCTCTCTCTCTCTCTCTCTCTCTATCTCTCTCTCTCTCTCTCTTCCTTCCTTTGTCTCTTTTCTCTCTCTCTCTTCATCTCCTCTTTAACTCTTCTCTCCTTCCCATCTCTTTCTTATCCTAACTCTCTTTCTCGTTGACGTTGTGCAGTTTTGAGCTTCGTGAACGCGAGGACCTCCACATGGGACTGCAGACTTCTTTTCTTTCCTGGAACTGGAACTATCCTCATCAATGAAAACTGGCCTTAGGCGAGTGTTATAGGAAAATTGAGTTTCAGGTACAGCTGTTACGCCAGGGATTCCAGGCCAATGGAGAGACGCGCATTGCATTCGCACAGTCAATTATAGAAATATACAGCTCTTAAGAGAAAGACTAGAATTTTTCCATTTTCATTTTTCAAACCCAAGCTTTCTTATTATAATTTTCATCATTTACAAGGCTGTTACTGAGGGGTGAAGGGGATTCCTATTGAAACGGAATTAATTCAGATTGAACTCAAATTCGAAATTCAATCTTGAACATGCTGATAATGTTCCAAATACAGAGGTGGGTATACTTTATTTATGTCTGTGTCAGACAATGAAGGAAGAAAAATAAAGAAAAGAAATTCGTTTGTCGCTTCCGAGTGCTTATCTTACAAATGCACGAACAAGAGCGTTATTTATTTTGCTATAGTCCTGTGCATGTGCAAAATTTCCCACCTTGCCCTTCATTAATTTGGGTCCCTAATTGAGTCAAAAGGTGAGCTCCATGGTGATCCTGCACTGCCTCAGAATGCAGAGTCTAGGATAGTATAGTATGTACAGGTGTACCTGATAACCTACCAACACAGAATAGTGGCAGTCCCCAGTCCACGTGCAAACGAATAGATGTCGTCTCCTTCGTGGCAGTTCCAAGCACATAATCCCCGATCTCTTTCTTTGCCCCATGTAGGTACAGAGTTACGCCCAACAGGTTGAACAGAGCTAAGGAAAGTTGGAATAACGTTGAGTTAGTTGATCGTTTGTCTTTTTTTACTGCGAGCCTCTTACAGATACAAACTTCATATTGAAAGGTTGTGCTAGAATCAAGACCGCAGACTTGTTTTATGATATACTTGCTGGGCCCCCCGTTCGATGAAAGGAATGATCGGTGTATTAATCAACATCATTAGCTATATTTTTACACTCTACTGGAAAGGAGCAATAAATCTTGAGAGATGCAAGAAATCAGAAGATCTAGATCTAGATCTACAGTCTCAAAAACAAAAAGCGCCTGGAGAACTATCACTTCCGACAGCTACGCAGACTTGTTTTGTTTCTCAGTGGAATAACCACAAAGGCCAAAGAAGGACGTGAACTTTTTGATAAATATATTTTTTTAAATTCAGAAAATAGATAAATAAATAAATCGGACTCTGTCATGGGAACCTATCTATCTTTTTGCATGTACTTGGCAACTTTCAACTCTGTAGCTGTCGCAGTTTTATGGGAAAAGTGACACATGCGTTTCCAAGTTGCAAAATATATAATATATATCTGGGTTTCCCCTCCGATGAACGGACTCGAAAGAATCGATCGTCATTTTGGGATCAGTGCAGGCACTCTTTGTGAACGGAAACCTCACTTGTTTGTTTGTTTTTTTGTTTTTGTAAAGTGTTTTACGGCGCTCGTAACTGCATAAGGTCATGTGAGCGCGCGGGACACACCTAATATTTTCAGTTGGTAGAAAATTATGAATTTTGCCCGGGTGGCGGCCGAAGCCTACTCTTATCGATTTTAGACCACCAAGGGATTTAACTTGCGCAACTTGCACACGGGCCCTCCGAGATTTTTTCGCCCTTGTCCGAGAAGGCTAGGTGTAGATCTTTCCTACCAGAAGATCAGGGGTGTGGCTTAAAGACAGCAGTAAGGAGGAGCCAAGGAGTAGCAGTAGAAAGGCTGCAGAAAGAATCAGGAGCCCAGAGGAAGGGGGGAAGGAGGTGAGGGGGTGGGGGCAGAAAGTGGAGACGAAAGCAGACGACAGAACATTGCTAGAGAGCAGAAAATGAGGTGAAAGGAGACAAATTTAGAGAAGAAAATTTTTCGATCGCTACCCGGATTCGAACCTTTTGAATGAGAGGCCAAAACCTTAACCTCTAGGCCACGAGAGCCCCCCCCCCCCCCTCACTTGTTTACAATTGCGTCTTAGAAGACGGACTTTCCCAAGATTATATCTAAACGAAACTAATGAAAATGTGAAAATTAAACAACAATGACTTCAGACTCCTCAGTAAAACCTGTGCAGCCGCTAAATGATTCTGAACCACCATTATTTTTTTTTCAAATTCGAAAGTTAAGTGGTTCGGAAGTATTAGGCGACGAGAGTGACGGACTTTCACAAATATAATATGTATAGATATCCTAAGCAGTGCTCTTTGTTGACGTAACCCCGGTTCACCATGGAGCACATCATTTTTCTCGATTTTGGAGCAGAACGGTGGGCAAAGTTGACAAGTTAAAAAAAAAAAAGTAATGAGGGTTGGCTATGACAGTGCATGGTCTAGGATAATATATAATTCAAGTCTATGGGCTAGACCTATTGTTGTGGCTTTGATACTCCGTTCATTACAGTAAGGTTCTTCAAGAGGCAGGGTCTCCGAGGAATTTATAATGTCCCTCTGCAATGTGTCTGAGCCAGGTGGATGGCGAGCTTTGTACACTCAACGAATAAAAGTAGTTCGAGGACTCTGTGTTGGAGATTCGAACCCAGGGGCGAAGGCTGACTTGTTTGACAGGGTAATCAAAGTGAAACGGGACCAGATATAGATCTATATGGCCTGTAGATATCACATACGAATCTTACTCGAGGCGGCGACTCTGACTGAGTTGTAAATGAAAACAAATCCGGAATTCATATTGTATGTTCAACCGCCAAAATAATCGGGAAAGTATCTTATTAAATATCAGTTCCAACTAAAATTAAATTAACTTTGATGTGAATACATAAACACAAAGCAAAGAAGCAGAGATGTCAGTACTAGATCTATATGTTATAGATCAACCAGAGAGTCTAACTCTTTGGTAGAACATGACAAATTATCATTTTTTAAATTTCACATTTGGCTGTTTTTGTTAGCCTTTCGCGGCCAGGAGCTGGTGTCATAATCGAGGTCACGATCTGATTATAGGACAGTAAAAAAGTCGAGGAAAAAAAACCAAGCACATGCAGCAGTACATAGATTGTTAGGAGTTAGTTCCCCTCACATTTGTGAGGTAGACTCGACCAGTGTTCGTTAGCTTACTTAATCAGGGCTTGTGATTGATTTTAACTGTGGCCCCAAAGGGGTGAACAGGGTATATGTGGCAATGAAACAGCCATGACTGCTATGCACATGTTCCCTCAACTGTATTGGTAAATTCTTTCAGCCTCACTTTAAGCTTACTTAATCAAAGCTTGCGAATGATTATGGAGTGGCCCGAGAGGGGTGAGGAGGCTATTTATGTGGCCGTGAAACCGTTTTGAATGTTAGGCATGCTCATTGTGGATTACGAACCTCTTTTTACTTTTAATTTAAGAGGGTTACGTTTAAAGATGAATTTGACAGCGACAATGTTTCAAAATTAGGAAGGGAAGCAGTGATTATTTGATTATATAGACGCTAACGGTTGGCGGTTGAACATACAATATGAATTCCGGATTTGTTTTCATTTACAACTCAGTCAGAGTCGCCACCTCGAGTAAGATTCTTATGTGACATCTACAGGCCATATAGATCTATATCTGGTCCTGTTTCACTTTGATTACCCTGTCAAACAAGTCAGCCTTCGCCCCTGACTACTACTACTACCACTACCACTACCACTACCACTATCACTACCACTACCCCTACCACTACCACCACTTCCACTACCACCACCACCACCACCACCACCACCACCACTACTACTACTACTACTACTACTACTACTACTACTACTACTACTACTACTACCACTACTACTACTACTACTACCACCACCACTACCACTACCACCACTACCACTACCACTACCACTACTACTACTACCACTACCACTACTACTACCACTACCATTACCACTACCACTACCACTACTACTACCACCACCACCCCCACCACCACCACCACCATCACCACTAACTATGGAATGGATGAGGAGTCCAAAGTCTCACCTCTTACTTTTAGATTATCTTACAGAGCTGAAAAGTCGATTTTTTGGGGGCACGGGAGGGGGGGGGGAGTAGCGGTTTCGTCCTCAGACTTGAACCATAGATCACTCCCGACGAGTGGTGAGAGTAATACAATATGTACATTTGAAAGCATCCTACCAGCGCTGGTGAGCAGCACACAGCAGCAGGAAAATCTGGTCGACTGGTTCTGTGTGAGCACACACAGGATGGTTGGAGCGGAGAACAGAGTCTGAAGACATGCTAGGACGAAGGCCACTTGGGCCAGCTGTGTCTGGAAGACTACAGAAAAAAATAGAATAAACGAATGTACGGGTTTAACGAGATTTTCAGCATGGCCTGGAAGGCTTGGAGAGGCCTAAAGAAGTGGATGGAGAGGGGAGAGGGAAAATGGGGTAGACGGATAGACGGAGCACTTTTTAACCTATGTACTGTGAAAATCAAAATGTATTGTTCTAACAACTTTCAATCGATTTCTATTCTACAACGCTGCAACCAAAAGAAAATGTTTTGCTGAATTTTCTGATATTTGTTCTACTTAAAAATGTCACCAGAAGAGAACTCAACTCTGTACGTTTCATAAAACGGAAGCGCGTTTTGTTCTGTAGGTGTGGCAGCATGGTCACTTAACTGAAATCTAGCGGATGACGCACATCAAAGAGATAAAGGGTTTCCTCATCTACACACGCAAAGAAAGACAACTTTAGTAATGCTCTTAGATTTCTTTTGTATTAATAACTGTCCATGAAAAAAACCCCGTCAGAATTAACTCAAAAGTTTGATCCCCATCACTAGTCGCTTAAATCCACCCCCTTGTATAAAGCTATGCTTCGCGTATCTCGATGAAGGGCTCACAGCTTAATGACCACCCTTCCAGTTTTTGTCAGGTAACAGCTATTGACTTTTCCGGTTATCAAGTTGACTCACAACATCACAAGTTTTTTTCTTTACTCACCCAGATATTACACTTTTCCTGGGACAACTATAAAGTATAGTCGAAAAACTGCTTCTGGGGCAAAGGTAAAGAAGCAGCAAAAATGTTTAAATGTTGCTGTAAAGTATGTAGATTATATACATGTTGACACTATAGGAAGTACAACAAAGAAACTAAAAAAATGCATTTTATTTAAACCATTATCATGAAAACCTCACTCCTAGCGTATACATGTATTATCACCATGCCTTAGGCAGTCTACAGTGCGGTGTGGGCTGAGCACCCTTGTTACGCGGTACAGTTATTTGAGAGAACAGGTCTATAATTCCATGTGGAGCAGGACCATAGCGAGTGGGATGAAAACTGGCTTCTATCAAATAGTCAAATCGTTTTTTAAAAGTGTACAAGACTCTCACACGGAAATCAGACACCTTGAAAAAGTAGAAAATATTACTATAAATCTTTAGCTGATAGACAGACTATATCGTGGGCACAGTAGGCATACGTTAGTTCAGTTTGTGTCAGGCTGGCCTGTGGAGGATCAGTTTTTAAAATTCGTAATGGGGAGTTCTTGAACTTGAGTGGTTCAGGGAGTTTTTAAGGCCTTGCTCCAGCTTGGTTCGGAACTGCTTTAGAAGTGACGTTGTTTCGGAGGCTACCTCTAAGTTTTGGTTTTGGTTTTTAGTAAGAGTTCAACGGCATTTGCATTACAATTATATTAGAGATGTTACGAGTAACAAACCAAAAAAAGGACGAGCACGCCACACCAGAACACCGATCACCCACCTGCGCCTCATAATAATATCCCGGTACTGAAAGGGACAATGAACTCATACCATGTTCAAACAGTGGACAAATGCATTTCTCACCCACTCTGTGACTGAACACTTACACTTGGGACTGACGAGGAAGTTTTCACATTTGGTAGGGTGCACAGCAAATAGTTCCTTGGGCACTTTTGTACAAAACTGGACCAGACCCGCTCTGGTAACTATGGTGAATGTGAAGGCGAATTCCGCTGTGAAGACTACCCAAGAGTTCGTACACATCGAGGCCACGGTCAAAGTCATACCTTGTTTTGAAGAAGACTGCAGTTATGTTGTTTCACATATAAAGTTTGGTGACATTAGAAATAACATGTTCTATTTTTAGGGATGTAATATTGACGACAATAAACAACCAAACATGATTTGAGATCTACTGCTCACACTGAAAATTTAAAAAGTTCAAAGAGAAATCAAAGTCATTATAACATTGTGACAGGCTTTGGGGTGAGAATGTCAGACAATGGATACGTTATTTTTTATATGAACTCTTACTGTAAATTAGAGCAACAGCTTTTGCTATACATGACGCGGAGTTTAATTGTGGTCATAAGGTGAACAATCCGTGAGAGTTTCTTGACCAGAACACTTCTATATTGTCCTTCGTGGGTTTGCAAGAGGAAAAAAGCACCATTATGAGGGTGTAACAAAAAGCATGTGGAGCCTCTTATTATCTCCAACGATTTCTTCATCGCCTTCCCCTTTCTCATAGCAATGCTGGTCTTACCATTTACAAGAAAATAAACACCAAAAATAATTAAAACCGTTTATTAATTGAGGTACATGCACTGGTATGCTAGAGTTTGTGACGTATCATAATGTTTAAAAAAGGCATTACTATGATCAATTTATATAGACTGAACTGTCGAGACAACTAGGAGAAAAACGCTTGACCTGAATATCACTTGTCTATTAAGGTATATCCAAAAATTCAAGCAAGAGTTGACGTGTTCGAGTATATTGCGTGTATATATGTGTGTATGTATGTATGTGTAAGTCTCCCTCTCTCTCATTCTCTCTCTCTCTCTCTCTCTCTCTCTCTCTCTCTCTCTCTCT